GTTAACACAGTTACTAAATACCTTTTATAAGGATGTGGGGTGGGTGAAGTGAAATTTCAGAACAGGGAAGGTAAAGATAAAGAGAAATGTCTCCTCTAACAGATTTTCCCAAAGGCACTTTCCTAAAAAGCAAAGGGTGACTCGGGAGGTCTTTGCCCGACGCTGGGCCTGGCCCCTGCAGGACAGCAAGGGAAGCCCCTTGCAGCAACCTCCACCCCAACCTTGGCACCTCAGTTCCACCTTGGACACAGAACTGACTTTCTCTGGGGACAGAGATCATGTCAAGGCCCTCAGAAGAAAAATGTGGCAGATAGTCAAGGGAGCCTTCTACCATTTAAGTTAACGGTAACGGGGAGGTAGTTCTGCCCTTCAGATGAAAAAGGAAGCAAATAGCCTCATTAAAAAACATTCTTAATAAAAAAATTTTCATCTAAAACCTTCATGAGAGGATTATCGTCGAATGATGCAATAATTTTAAGGCAATAATAAGCATGCTTTTGAAAGTCAGTGCTGATTACCAGGTGTATTAAAAACGGCCTTGGGGAAATCTCTGTGCAAATATTTCTTTTTTAGTTTAATTTCAAAGACTACTTGAAAGAGGGAGGATGTCTGCAGTAGTAAAGCAGCAATCATTTGCACCTGGGCAGGGCTACGTTTCATCCCAGAATCTGGAGGGTTTTGTGCACAGATGGGAGAGCCTGTGTGTGCAGCAGCAGAAGCTGCGGGGCCGGGAGAGGACATGGCAGAGAAACGAGGTGCCTCTACCAAGGTCACGCGGAAGCACAGGTGCGCTGGAGAGCAGGGCTCCCACCCGACTATGATCTCATGGCCCCCCTGCTCTGAGGAGAGGATCACGCTACGGGAGGCCCCTCCTGGCTTCAGGGTCAAATCTTCTGCGGCTGCCAAGAAGCCAATGAGGCCACGGCCAAGTTTACTGAGCATCTGCTACATGCGCAGGACTATTGCGCCATGCGGGAGACGGAAGACGGGCAGACCCTGATCCTGCCAGCAAGCGTGAGGCTGGCTCGCAGGCAAGACCGGCTCGTGTGCACAGTGGTGACTTCATACTCTCTTTAGGGAGAGATGACATCTGTCAGTGAGGAAGAGAGGGACCTTCCTCTGAGCCTCCGAGCGTAGGATGGATTTAGACAGAAATGTGGGACATTTCAGAATGTTTCAGAATGTCTTATAATCTACCTGCCCTCTTTCTGACCCAGAAAACTGGAGAACCCCTGCCTTTCTCCCAAGAAATGCAAACCAGGCTTTAGGCTGGTCATGGGCTGTTTGCCGAAAACCAGACACTTGCGTTCTCCTCCAAGGAGTTCAGAGGAGGTTTTGGTTAGTGTGTTCACATTCTGTTTTGTTTTGCTGGTTTCTCGTCCCACCCAGTCCTTTATTCTACTCCTTCTTTTGTTCTTTTCTTTTCCACGGAAGAAAAACCCATGATTAGAGCACGAGGCAAGGAGAGCAGAGAAGCTCCCAGCTTCTCACCCATTTTGCTGAACTCTTGGGGCAGCAACAGTCGAGTGGCTGAGCTGGGAGGACAGTCACACTGACCAGGACAGGACCGCCGGCTGGGCATGACACCCCATCTGCTCAATGCTTAGGGAATAAAGAATTAGACAGAGATTGGCCAATGGCCACTACCAGAGGGACCCCCCCCATCACTGACCACCATAAGATGGCCACCGAGCAGCCTGGACGTTCTGGAACAGTTTCCATTTAAAATGTTGTGATGATCCCACAAATCTGCAGCCCCCAACCCCCAGGCAGTGGAACGGTACTGACCCGCGGCCTGTTAGGAACCAGGCTGCATCGCAGGAGGTGAGCGGAGGGCAAACGACAGAAGCTTCATCTGTATTTACAGCCGCTCCCCATCGCTGGCATCACTGCCTGAGCTCCGCCTCCTGCCAGATCAGCGGCGCCATTCGTTGCAGGAAAACAAGCTCAGGGCTCCCACTGACTGTGCATTATGGTGAGTTGTATAATTATTTCATTATCTATTACAATGTAATAATAATAGAAATAAAGTGCACAATAAATGTAATGCACTTGAATCATTCCAAAACCATCTGCCCCCACCCCCAGTCTGTGGAAAAATTGTCTTCCATGAAACCAGTCCCTGGTGCCAAAAAGGTTGGGAACTGCTGCCATAAATCATCCAAATCAGCCGGGAAATTATAACCTTTCAGCGTCCAAACTACAATTTCAAAAATGTCCCCTCACATTTGGAATTGGTACAAAAATCTTTCACCAGCCCAAATTTCCCGGCAGGGTTTCGGAAGCTGGGACCGTTGCAGCCAGAGGCTGATTGGACAGTAGGTGTATTTGGTCTTCACGATCCTCACACACACCCTTTCAGCTACCTGCTGTCCCCTCATCCAGGGCACCTGCTGCCCACCCGGCTCCCTCCCCCCTCCGCTCCCCCTTGCACTGAAGCGACATGACTCAAGAGGATGTTAGGATATTTGCATCCTTGCAAGATACAGTGTCTTGAGACAAAGGCATGAAATCCTAATAAGGAATTAGGGGGTGTAAGCAAAGTGTAAGAGAATCTGGGGGGAGGGAAAGTACGGGGCATCTGCGGAGCCCCTTGGAGCTTTTATGCCTGTTTGACTCCATCTCCTGCCTCTGCAGGGCGTGGAGGGAAACGCAGCTGCCACAGTGAAGCGAGAGTAGGTGCTGAGTGGGTCTGAGAGCACTGCCACGAGTAGCCAAGGCTGGGCGCTGCCCACAAGTGGCTACATGCACTTCTGATGGGAGAGCCACATGGCACAGGAATAAGCACCTTGGTGTCCTGGCCCAAAGGCCACTTGGCACTGGCTGGAAGTCAGAAGGTGGCCTCTATGTTTTTTGCACTTCTGCACCAGGTGTTACATGGACCCTGTCCCCCAGAAAGCCCACTTCCCCTGTGCTTACTGCCCTTCACTCTGTCCCGGGTGACAACTGTCTCCCTTCTGTTCCCTCCAGCACCTCCAGTGGGACCTGAGGGCTGCCTCCCTGTCCTCACGGTTTGATTCCATTCTCCCAGCCTTCTTACTTCTCATTCCTTGCCTTTTGCTGACGCTCCCACCGGCAGATCTCATTGTCATGACCCTCGCCTTTTGCAAGCCCTGGGGCACACCTTCTGCAAGGAGAATCCCCACAAGGAGGTAGGGAGGGGGGCGGCCAAGAGAGAAACCGAGCTTGAAAAATCTTGTCTCTTTGTTCTTGCATCCTGCAGAAATGGGTAAACATCCTCCTTTTCCAATCCTCTGAAACACATGGCAGTGTTTGGAGAAAGTCTCTGTAGAAGGCTTTCTTATCCTCCAAACTTTTTCTCTGTCTTCTCTTCCTATGGCCCGAAATTTCCACAATTAGAAATTAATTCCTTTGAATTTTTTTCCGCTAAAACACAAAGAAGCCTGGGAAAGGTAACGGCAGTTGTGTTTCAGGGCAAATGTACTTATTCTGAGAGAGTATTTTGATAGGGAGAGAAAGAATGTGAGAGTTCCTGGGAATGAGGGACTTGGGAACAGTTAAAAGGAGCCTCAAAGAAAGGAGAAACAACTTCGGAATGGCAAGTTTCCACCGGGAGGGGGCCCAAGCCAAACTTCTCTTCTCTCCGGGTTTTGCGCAAGCCAAGCAGGTCAGAGCCAGGCCTCAAATCAGCAAAAGGGGGTAAAGGGTTGGGGAGTTTTGGAGCAAGTTCAGGCATTGAATACAAAGGCTTCCTTTAGTCTAGGAACTGTGTAGACACCAAGGATCCAAAGAAAGGGAAGACCTAGCTCCTGCCCTCAAGAAGCTCACAGTGTGGTTGGGAGAAACACAAGGAAATCAATCCTGTGTGGCTGGAAAGTGCCCAGGGTGTTCTGGCCACACAGAGGAGGGGCCCAGCGGGCAGGCTCCGATGCAGCCTGGGAAGGGGGAGGATGGGACACACCAGCTGGCTATTAAGAGACGAGATCGAAGTATCCTACAAAGGCTGGGCACGGTGGCTCACACCTGTAATCCCAGTACTTTGGGAGGCCAAGGTGGGAGGATTACTTTAAGCCAGGAGTTTGAGACCAGCCTGTTTCTACAAAAAAATTTTTAAAAATTAGCCAGGCGTGGTGGCACATACCTGTAGTCCCACCTACTTGGGAGGCTGAGGCAGGAGGATCACTTGAGCCCAGGAGGTCAAGGTTGCAGTGAGCTATGATTGTGCCACTGCACTTCAGCCTGGGCAACAGAGCAAGACCCTGTCTCTAAAAAAAAAAAAAAAGAAGTAGCAAGTAGCCTACCAGGAAGGGAAAGGACGCCCAGCAGAGAGAGAGACCACACACAAAGGCTCATGCACATTCTATGTGTTGGCGTGCAGGTCGTGTAGGTCCTCAAGGCGAGGTGAAGGGAGATGAGGCTGCAGAGATGTTTGGCAGTCCGAGCACTGAAGGTCGTTTCAAGTTTACATAGGACAGGCCGGGCGAGGTGGCTCACGCCTGTAATCCTAGCTCTCTGGGAGGCCGAGGCGGGCGGATTGTTTGAGCTCAGGAGTTCGAGACCAGCCTGAGCAAGAGCGAGACCCATCTCTACTAAAAATAGAAAGAAATTAATCAGACAACTAAAAATATATAGAAAAAATTAGCCGGGCATGGTGGCACATGCCTGTAGTCCCAACTACTCGGGAGGCTGAGGCAGGAGGATCGCTTGAGCCCGGGAGTTTGAGGTTGCTGTGAGCTAGGCAGACGCCACGGCACTCTAGCCTGGGCAACACAGTGAGACTCTGTCTGAAAAAAAAAAAAAAAAAAAAGTTTACACAGGACAGCAACGAGGAGTCCCCGGAGAATTTTAAGCGGAGGATAGGTGGGCGCTTTGTACCTGCCTTGTCCACCGTGGAGGCAGGTGGGCGAAGGAACAGAGGGGAATGAGAGTAGGAATGGGGGGTGGGGGAGACAGGGGGTGAGGGTCATAGATTAGAGATGAAGGACTGACCTGACGCAGGGGCAGGGAGCAGAGAGGAAGATTGGGGAGACCTGGGGCCCATGTCGGGGCTGAGGGAATGCAAGAGGATGAAGATGGTACCAGGCTTCGGCGGGGCCCCTGGTGAGTGGTTAACCGTCCACCGAGGCAGGGAATGCAGGGCTGTCGTGCAGGGCTGAGGTGTGAAAGTTCGGATGAAAGTAAAGTCTTGTATGGCCAACTTTGCAGTTGAAAATCTCTGAAATTACCCATAAAGTACAGCAGAGATCGCCATGGCTTTGGTTGACTCAGGCTAAGTTTCAAGGCCTCGTCATGGATGACATACAGACCTTCACACCCCAGAATCACACTCGGCACAGAGAGCTGCCTGTCACAAGAGAAACACAAGGAACCGGGCCCCTGGGACTAGGAGGGCAGGCCCCTCAGCTCCCTTACCCCTGGGCTTGCAGCCCCGGGGAGAATGTCCAGCAGAAACAAACTCCAGGTACCACGAAACCAGTGACTCTCAACCTCGGCCACACACTGGACTCACACGGGGAGCTTTGGAAAATACAGATGGCTGATTAGTCGCTCCGCAGAACCGCCTGGGCATGTGGGTTATTACAATCCCCTGAGTGATTCTAAGGTGCAAAGTTGAGAACCACTGATTTAAATTGTTCTTGCTTCTTCTGCACCTTGCGTCATTTGAATTCCTGTGAGTTAGAGCGGCAAACACCAAACTCAGTTTTGGACTTACAGTGACCCTGGGAGGTTCAAACAAAGACACCCTCCACCCTCAGCTAAGCATCCCTCCGGCCTTACAGATGTTTATCCAGCAGCCCCGGGTCAGCGATGGCTCCTGATTGCTGGGTACAGTGCTGGGATGGGGAAGAGGCTCTTCCAGACAGCAGTCCCAGACAGCTTGGCTCTGAAACACAAACAAACAGAAAATAGTCACTCTGCCTTCTAACCTGTTCAGCACCGGGGAGGTGGTGGGGTGGGGATCGGGGGAGATTTCAAACAAGGGCAACATTTACTAGGCTTTTCCAACTGGTACTAGAATAGTTATTACTGCAAATAGCCGTTTTGGCTGCTACGAGTCTGTAATTTCAACCTCTGAAGTAACATGTTCTCGGAGCTTCTGGCATCTCATTTTGTTGATGCAACGAGGAAAATCAGGGATAGGACTTCAGGCGAGTTCTCACCCCCAGGCCCTAGAGATTATCAGGCTTTTGGAAAATCAGGCTCCAAGATTGCGACGAGGAGGATCCTTCAGTCTGAGCCAGGGCTTCCATCTTCCTTTTCTTGCCGTATTTGTAACCCGCACACCTTCTGCCGGAAAGCTCCTTGTTCCTCCAGGCATCTTCTCTGGAACATCTTAGAAACTCAAATCACAGGGGATCCTGGCCCTTCCAAGGCAATGGGGACTGAGTCAGTTCATGCATGACCCCGAGGACGGCCCAGCAAGCAGAGCAGAAGAGCCACGCAGGTCCAGAACGGAGGCCTCCAGGCATAGCAGAGAGCTTCTCAGAGCCGCTCCATTCTGCCCTGACCGCCTGGACCTTGGTAAGGCCTCCCCGTGAGGCCCCTGGGGCATGAAGAGATACACACCAGTCCCAGCCGTTTGGACATTCAAATCCAATCAGTGTTAATCAAGCCTGGAACAAAGGAGGCCTGACACACTAGACGACCACCTGAACTCTGAGGGGGCGTCCCAGCATGACCCTGAGTTCCTGGAGCTGTAACCCATCAGGAAGGCAGCTCTTTTGTAGAAGACCCAGCCCCGGCCCACCTGCCAGGGACCGATCCAGGACAGGCACTTCTGCCAGGGGCAGGTCAGCCCCAGGGACACAGATACTGGCGTGTCTGGGTTACCCCCACCCTGCTGACAACAGACAACTCAGGGACAGGCACCTTCTGATCCCAAGATGAGGGACGGAGATTCTCATTCTTGTCTTTTGGGTTCTCCAGATCTCCAATGGCTTCAGTGGGTGGCTGTGAAAGTCTCAAAACAAAAGCAATTCGAATTCATTTCCACTTAAAAAGAAATTAATGCAAAATCAAAGGATACTTTGCGGGAGCCAAGAGGAAGGAGAAATGTCACAAAATTGACAAATGTATACAATTGATTCATTTGTCAACAGCCACCATCTGCCAGGCGCCGCGCAATGAGTGAGGCAGGGCCCTGGCCTCGGCAGGGCCTGGCTGGTTTAAGAGGCAGATGTTCGCACTAGTGCGTGTTAACAGCCGCGACGGGGGGACGTGGCAGCCCACCTGGGGTATCGAATGCTGCCCAAGGGTGTCAGGAAAAGGTTTGGGGAAATTGGCAGGAATTCATCAGGGCATAAGAACAAAAAACGTAGGGAGAGATGGTTCTGGCAAAGCCACGGAGCTGTGAGAGAAGGTGTCACCTTCAGGAATCAACCTCCAGAGGCCGGGACCTCGACCCACAAGTTCGGCGAAGGCCCTGCCGGCTCCGGGAAGAGGGTCCTTTCCTGGCATCGTCCCACTGCTCTTTCTTCCTCGCTGCACGCAGGATCTGTGCGCATGCGTCGCATAAGCACAGGCCCAGGTGTGTGGCCTTGGAAGTCACATACGTCATCCGGGGCGGGAGCTAAAAATAACTCGCCCATCTGCTGCTGCCATCTCACCTGCCCAGACAGAAGTTAGCCAGGTAGGCCTTGCCAGGAAGCGGGGGCTGGCAGGGAAGGACGCCAGCAGCGCTGCGGTCTGACTGACTGTCCTCTCCTTGCCAGAGTATCAGGAGGCAAGACGCTTGCCACACGGAGGCCCTGGCTCCGAGGACCCACAAAAGGGCAAGAGAGCCAGCCCCTATCCGTAGACTCGCTCGCTCGGCAGCCATGCGCCGGTGGCTTCATACACGCCACTGTCACTTCTATCTAAAGTGGAAACTGAGGCTCTCACTCCGGCACACGATTGGCAGGGGACGTCAAACACTGCACTGAGCCAACATAAGCCGCATGGCCGCACCTGCTCGTGCGCGCACACACCGTCCCCTCGCCTTCCGGAGACAGCTGCCCCTCCCCGGCCAAACCAAGGGCTCAGCCCGCGTCCTGTCCCCACCCTCCCCTGGCTGCTGAGTTTTGGGGGCCTCTTGCCGGCGCAACCCCTCCAGCAGGGAGTTGGCAGCAACGGCACACGCAGGCCTGTTTCAGAGCAGGTGTTTTCAAGCTTTCCAAACAATCTTCGTTTAAAAATATATACACATGGCTCATATATGTGTGGATCCCCGAACAGGCAGCCACCGTGTGTGCTCCTTTCCCGACCTAGGACTCCCGATTCCCCCTCTCCGTCTCCCGCCCACCCGTTCTCTCCCAGGCTCTTCAGACCCCGGTCCTCCAGGCTCCTGCCCCATGCAGAAACATGGCCTTTTCTCCCCGTTTCTCCTGAGTCTTTCATCCCAGAGATGCTGTTGTGCTTAGAAGTCATCCCTCTCAAGCCATCGCTTCATTCCCACACTCCTCCTCTCACTCCTCCTAACCCTTAAGCAAGATCTTAAGCGTTGGAGTTAGACTTCACATTTTTCCCTAAGCCTCAGTTTCTTTTTCTGTAAAATGGGCATGATAACACCTACCTGAAAAAGTTACTAAAAAGGACTAACTTGATGCAAAGTGCTTTACTTCTATGACCTTATACTGTTATTGGTTTTCTGGTTTTTGTTTTTTTCTCAACAAGTGAAGAAATTAGGATGATTAAGTAACTTGCCTAAAGCCACACGGCTGGTAAACAGCAGAGCCAGCATTCAAACCCAGGCTTGGCCTGTCTCCACCGCCCTTGCTTTTTGTCCCCCCGCAGAGCCGCCTCACACTCGACCTCAGACATTGCAGGTCTCTGGGGCACCGCACCCCTGCCTCAGAAACCACAGCCACGGCACCCTGGGCAAGGAGCGAGGTGCCGCCCAGTCTTCATCATCTGCAGCGTGGATAGCCTCCCGCCCCCCGCCCCCGATTCTGCAACGTGTGGCTCGGTCGGCAGCCTGCTGTGCCAACTGCTGCTCTAATGTCACTAGCTGTCACCCATGCCCTAGAAGGGGGCAGTCGCAGGATCTTTGAGAGCAACAACCCTATTTTCCCCTCGGATCTATGTCCTCAGCTCGGTGGGGTCTGTACTCAGTGTCCAGTTAAATACCCGCTTGCTGATGTGCGGGGAGAAGCCGTCTGCTGCTGCCGGGACAAGGACTCGTCCAAGGATTGCAGTAGCCATGTTTCTCACGCGCCACCAGCCCCCTTAGTTCCCTGTGGGGTCCTGCCCTCGCGACACGTGTCACCGGCAGACACAGCCTCTAAGAACCACCTGAGTCCCAGATCCCACTCAAATCTGACCTCGCAGGGGACCCCAAGCCCGAAGGAAGAGCCACATAAATCATCCTTGTAACGCTTGCGTGAACTTTGCGTGTCCAGCTTCACTCCCAAGTTGTAGCTTTGATAGAAACAATCTTTAAAAGGAATTTATAGTGACGATAATTATTTTCCTGCAATTGACGTTGATCTTAATGATGTCAACCACCAAGACATCTTCTCTCCTGGGTAGCTCTTTGTCACGTTGTTTGTTCTCCAATCAGTTACTTTCCAAGCCATTTGCTGGTTTTTTTTCCTTTCAAAGGCTTTTTTCCCTTCAAAGGTTTTTTTTCCTTTCAAAGGCTCAAGGATTTTGTTCAAACCGGAAATATATTTTTTCCTGTGATAAAAGTAATATACTGTTAAAAATTCATATAATACAGAAATATAGTAAACAGCAGAACATCTACTCATAATCCTTTTCCCAAAAGTTGCCACTACAATAGCTTGGTTTATGGGCTTCCTGAGTTTTAATGGACATAGAAGTACAGAAATAATTCACATGAACTTGATTGTTCAAACATGATGTCCTGAAACCTTTTTTTTTTTTTTTTGACATTCTATCACAGGATAACTGTCAATGGCCACACATATAAAAGTGAGCCATGATTTTAAATAACTGGTTAACATTCCATTGAATAAATAAACCCCCATTTTAAAAAATCAATACCACATTAATGGGTATTTAAAACTGTGTTCATGTCTTTGCTATTCTAAACAAGACAAAAACAGACATTCTTGTCTGACTTTTTTTTTTTTTTGAGACAGAGTCTCACTGTGTTGCCTGGGCTAGAGTGCCGTGGCGTCATCCTAGTTCACAGCAACCTCAAACTCCTGGGCTCAAGCAATCCTCCTGCCTCAGCCTCCCGAGTAGCTGGGACTACAGGCATGCGCCACCATGCCTGGCTAATTTTTTCTATATATTTTTAGTTGTCCAATTAATTTCTTTCTAATTTTAGTAGAGACGGGGTCTCGCTCTTGCTCAGGCTGGTTTCGAACTCTTGAGCTCAAACAATCCGCCCGCCTCGGCCTCCCAGAGAGCTAGGATTATAGGCCTGAGCCACTGCGCCCGACCTGTCTGATTTTTTTTTAAGATAAATTCCCAGAAGCAGAGAGGCTGGGCCAAAGGAGCCGCATATTTTACATTTTGATGACTACTTCTACGCCACCTTCTAGCAAGGGGGCCATGGTGAAGGTTTCTTCCCTGAGTATCACGGGAGCTCAGGGAGTGGCAAAGGGCCCCACCTCACTCTCCAGGCAGGTCCCTGGGAAGCAGAGCCGGGAACAGCACTTGTCTTCAGGCCTCCTCATGCCTCACTGCAAGCAAAAGCCAGGCAAATCCTTGATTCAGGACAGTTTTTAAAATTCCAAGTGTTTTCCCTTTTAATTTCTAATAACTTCTTTGCTCATAGAGTCCAAAGACTTCCTGGTAATTTCCAAATTTAGATGGTATTCATGACGTCTGAAACTCATTTAAAAATAACTGGAAGAAAGCAGTACATCGTACACACACAGAGATATGACCAGCGTGAGAATGACTGAACGAGTTAGAGCAAAAGGAACAACTCTCCAAGATCCCAGAGGGTCACTTAATTCTTATTGTCTCCTCGTCCAATAAAGCTCATTTTCTGAATCTGGCATTCAAGAGCCTACATAGTCTAGCCCCACCATAAAATGTAAAGCCTTCTATTCCCTAAATAAATCTATTTTTCTCTAGCGAAACAGAAGTTGTTGCCTCTCCTGCAAACATGCCATGTTTTCCTGCTTTATGTCCTTGTAGTTAATACTAAAAAGCTGCAGGCACCATGCTAAGTGCTTTACAGGGCATATTTTAGGTAATCTTTACAACGATCCTATGAGGTAGGCACCATTTCTTTCCATCTTACATATGGATAAGTGAAGCTCAGAAAGGTTAAGTGACTTAACCCAAACCACACAGCTGTTCAAAGTTGAGCACTGCTGTGCTCAATCTCGGCCCTGCAGTGCCTGACATCCCCCCTCATTCCAGCTCCCGACAAGCCAAATCCTTCCAGATGCAGCTCAAAACCCGTTTCTCTGACGACCCCTCACCTTCGCACAACGGCAAGTTCTCTTCCATCGTTCCGAGTCTCATTCTCTGAGCTTGGAAGAGCTTGTTGTCATCGCTACCCAGTACCACCACTTTTTCAGTTTAATTCATTCAGGCGGTTGCCTTTCTTCAGCACCTTCCTTGGGACAGGCCCTGCCAGGTGACCAGCCCACAGCCCCAGTCCTCAAGGAGGTGAGGCCGGTTGGGTCCCCCAACTAGACAGCGAGCCCACTAGGGCCTGACGAGTGCCTCTCTGCGCTGTCCACAGCTCTGGGAGCCCGGAAGACCCGCAGCGATGCTGTCTGGATGAATCGGTGCCTCGGCTGGTCCCTCCAAATCAGACTTTGCCTTTGCCCATGACCTGCCTCGTCTGTGAATTCACCCCTTCCTGCTCTGGGGCACCCTCTTCTCACCTGGAGGCTACACCGGCCAGGTAATTTATCTCCGCATCAGACTCCGTGCCTGACAACGAGCCCATTCAACCTCCATCTCTGCTCCCAATGAGTCTCCTGCACTCTGCAGTGTTTACCTTCCCGTCCAAGCAGCTGGGGGATGCACAAGGTCCACCTTGGAGTGAAGAAGGCGGGAAAGAGATGCACGCGGAGCCCCAGGTCACCGGAACAACGGGAACTGCGCGCAGTGCCACCCCCACCCCCAAAGGAACAGGGCTGGGGCAGAGGTTAATAGAAGACCAAACTCTGTTTGTATTTCACCATCCTTCAGCTTGCTCCTCTGCCTCCAGCATGCACGCGCACACACACACACACACACACACACACACACACACACACACGCCTGACACGCAAACCCACAGGAGAAGGCGGGAGAGAGGAAAAGCAAGGGAAGCTGCTTTTCACGGCGGGAACTGGTGTAGGTGGCCCCTAATCCCTCGGGTGCAATTCGAGAGTATCGGGTGGGACGAACTCCTCTGCCACCTGTCCCCAGGGCCTGAAAATTCTCATCTAGTTTCTGTGGTGGCCCAAAAGTGCCCCTTTGAGAAGTAAATATCGGGCGGCCGGGGCCGGGTTTGTGGCACTCAGAAGGGCCCTGTTCTTGGTTTTATGCTCTGCTGTCGCCATCTTGAGATTCTTAATTTTTTAACGAGGAACCCTGCGTTTTCATTTTGCAGCAGGGCCCACCTGGGCCCAGCAAATTATGCAGCTGTTCCTGTGGGCTACAGAGAGCAAGTTTCTTCAGGAACGGGATGAGGACAGAGCAGCATCTTGATGGGAAGAGGTGGGCAGGGGCTGGCAAGGGCTGGTGGGCATCCCAGGAGCCAGGACTTGCTCCCCTGGTGGGCCCCACTCGGGCCCATGGAGCACAGAGGCCACAGCCTGCAGCAGCTCAGGAACCGCCCCGGGTTAGCGAGGCCAGACTGCTTCTCGCCCCTCCCTCGCCAGTCACCAAAGCCAGGGGAGCACAGAGCTGAGAGTGTCCAGGTCTCACTGTGTCCCAGAGAGGACATCAGAGGTGTCCCCCAGCCGCCCAGCTCTGAGGGTGCACAGGAGGGCGACCACATTGACATGCTCTGCCCACCCCCAGGCCTGGGCTCCGCTTCCAGCTGCAAATCCTCCCACGGCCGCCAGAACCGCATCAAGGTGACTCTGCAGAAGCTGCTGCTCTTTGCTGGGTGCCGCCAGCCACGGGACACTGGGACTAGTGGCCCCCAGTCCACCAGGGCTGAGCCCACTCCAAAGGGACCACATGAGAGAGACCAGAGGATTCGCTCCCAATTTCATTCCCACCAGAAGCCTTGCTGCCTCCTCTGGGAAAATCAGCACTTTGCTCAGAGTTGCCATGAAGCGTTTGGCTCTGCCTTCTGCGGATCAGCTTTATTCCAACACCAGCTGCCAAACACCCAGGTTTCCTACTTCCCCCTCCAAACCCCAGGGGAAAGAGGTAGGAGGGAAGGAGGGAGGGAGGGAGGGAAGGAAGGAGGGAAGGAAAGAGGGAGGGAGGGAAGGAAGGAGGGAGGGAAGGAAGGAGGGAAGGAAGGAAGGAAGGAAGGAGGGAAGGAGAGAAGGAAGGAGAGAGGAGGAGGGAAGGAAGGAGGGAGGGAAAGAAGGAGGGAGGGAAGGAGGGAGGAGGAGGGAAGGAACCGAGGAAGAAAGAAAGGGAGAGGGCAGGAAAGAGGAATTGCCGGGGCATGACTATACAGAATGGAGGCTAGGAGACCCTCCTGTCTTACAGTCTCCTCCAAAACAGCCTGTCAGATTGTACCAATATCATTTCATTCCTTAAAGGCCTTTTGGGCTTAAGAAGCACTAATAAAATTCAAACATGCCCGGAAATGGTAATTCTGCAAGCTTTCTTCCAGGGAGATAAGGAGCAGGTGCTTAGAGACAGTGAAGCCGGCAGGGCGGCGGG